GTTATAAAAAATGCGAATTTTTGCACTCGATTTTAGCATGTCGGGGGATATAACCCTTTTTTATAAGAGTGAATTTTTATTTTTATTCTTATTCTTTTGCGTTTTACGCTTTGTAACAGCAGCAAAAAATGCATATTATTACGCCCTTGTCTCTTTGTGTATATGTTCAAGTGTATTTTGTCTCGCGCGTTAACTTAGGAACCACAAAAGCTAGGGGGCTGAAGTTTTGAAAGAATGCTCCCCGCTCACGTGCGACCCTGCGAACTCGAACTCAGCCTTCATGTGCCCCCATGTACCACGCACGACCCCGCGAAAACTTTGGTGGCGAAAGTTATTTCTCTGGGAACATGAAAGATGGGAAGCTGAAATTTTAGGGTAGTGTCCTGCTTAGTGGCGACCCAGCAAATTTAAAATAAGTGCGCGCGCCCGGGTATCAAGCATGTCCCCGTGGAAATTCTGGCGGGCAAAATTACCATTTCAGAAGCGAGAGGAGCTGAGAGGCTGAAAACTTCAAGAGGATGTTTTCTGCTGATGCAGGGGCACAACAGACTCAAATTTAGCTCCCGGTGTGACGAGGTCTCACGCACAACCTGTGAGTCTTGGCACGAAAGTGACTAGGAGGCCAGAAAACGTTTGCGTCCCGTGTAACGGTACGTGAAATTTTTAATAGGAAATTTCGCAGCTCAGGAACCGGACAGCGTATCGACTATTTTTTCACAGACCAAAGTGTAAAACATTGGAAATTAGCAGGCAAATATTCGCAGATCGGAACTGCGCAAAACACATGGCCGCGCCGGCTACTTTCATGCACGCTGATATTTTATTTTAAGGATATATCGAAAAATGAATGAAATGTGGGAAATTAAGGACATGGAGCAAATATAAAAGATTTATTGAGTGGCAGAATATATACTGAAAATTGGCAACGCACAATTGTGGTTTAAGGCCACCGGCATACTACAAAGCCTGGCAGAAAGCGATATTCAAGCGAAATGATTCGACTGCAAGGGAAAAGCCAACTGCCAAAATTTCGGGGGATCCTAGAGAACAATCTTGAGTGGAAGTCCCAGTTTTCTGAAACTTCTGGCGTCCTCCCCTCCCCCGTAAACCTGTGGTACTTTGTCTCAAAAACAATAGGAATCGGTCTTTAAACTATCGTGAAGTCAAAGGAAAGTGGAAACCTTCACAGTTTAAGAGGCAGAAGTAGCAAGAGCCCTAACATATGCCACCTTCTGCCAGAGGTATCAGTGGTTCTCTCTTCTGAGGGTTGCTTATAAACAAGCCAGTGACAGTGGTCTCATTCCTTCATTTGGGTAACAAGTACCAATTTATCATCGAAATGAATGACCGGGTCGTCAGAGAGCATGATCTTTTCTCTGGAAAAAAAAATTATTTTCGGTCCTGTAGGAGATCGGGTGCACTTCTGTGCTCCAAGAAATGCCGGCGAATTCCCGGGCAGAGCAGCCCCTGAGAGTTACTCTGGGGAAAGGAACCCGTAAATCATCCTTTTTTTTCCTAGATAAACTCTTTGGGACGGATAAATTCCCACCCTTCACTCTTTTTACTTACTTATTTCAACCCATATCAGACAAGAAAGCTTCAGAGGGAAGACGTTATAGCAAAAAAAGAGAAAAAAAAAAACAGTTTTATTGGGATAAACTGCTGATAATGATGAATTTGCATAGTTTTCTTTATAGCAATAAGCACTGGATTGTTGCTTTTGAGCGATATGGGTTCATCTTGTCACTCGGAAAACCACCCAACAAAACATCATCCTTCTCGCATTCTTGAGTGTACCTACAAAAAACACACATTCAGTGTAAACTAACTATAGATTATCGCTGATCAAAGTACCCAAATATAACAACTGCAAGGCACTCAGTGAGCACCAAAATTTGGCTGGCTAGGCGATTTTGATAGGCTTACATGGCTTTACTGCAAAAGTACCAAGAATACCCATCAAAAGCACGCTTAACAGCCCTACTTTATGGCCTCTCCTTCGTAGACATTGTACGTTAAAGGTGCTAAATTTCCGTTGCGCTGATCCTAACGCTGTGAGTCTTTGCTGCGATTTTGTCTCTTTTGTGTTTCGTTTCTTATGTTCCAAGTGCATGACATGTGTGTGTATGTGTGTGTGTGTGTGTGCGTGTGTGTGTGGGTGTGTGTGGGTGTGTGTGTGTATGTGAGCGCAAATATATTTCCTGCTTGGCGACTGAATAATAAAATGTGATCAAAAACGCCAGGCTATTAGTGTGAGTATCCCATGTTAGTGATGTTACTGGAATGCTCTAATAAGTTGAGGGCAGCTATGCCCCAGGTATATACCTCCAACTAGTATCTAGCGCCTGTTCGATGTACATGCGTCACCTCTTCAGAATTCTTCGGTCGCAGAGGTTTTGTATTTCCTCATTTCATTATTCAGTTGCCAAGCAGGACATACATATACATACATACATACATACATACATACATACATACATACATACATACATACATACAT